GTGTCGCACAGGCCTTGACTCACTGTCTTTGCCTCTGTGCATCCTAAACTGCGCTCCTCTTAGGCAAGATCCGGCCCTGTGCAGGAAAAATGTCCGCATGGTCCACCCTCTAAACCTGCGGGTCTCCTGAGCTGAATCCTGCAGGCAGCAGACTCCTTGAAAGCAACATTTTAAATCTGGTTTCTCCAGTCTCTCATGCCTAGCAGAGTGCATATAACACAGTGAGGGCTTTGAAATGTGTGGACGAGGGAGGACTGGATGGATGGATGGGTGGGTGGGTGGATGGATGGATAAATGGATGTGTAGATGATAGAGGTTGGATGGATGAAGGATTTGTGGATGGGTGGATAGACAGATGAGTGGGTGGATGGACAGATAGTTGGATGACCAGATGGATGGATGGATGGATGGATGGATGGGTGGTTGGGTGGGTGGATGGATGGATGGATGGGTAGACGAATGGTAGATGGGTGGGTAGATGATGGATGAATGGTTGGATGGACAGATAGTCATGATGGGATGGACAGATGGATGGATGGAGCAAACAGACATGTTGTAGTTGTTAGCAGACTGCCTTGAATCTGTTACTTCCCATGCAGTGCACACCGCCATTCCCTCGCTTAGCCCTTCAGTGTCGGTTCAGGAGCGTGTGCAGGCTTCCCTCCCTGCTTCTAACACTCAGCTCTGTCTCAGCCGCACTTTACTCGCCAAGCTCCTCGCGTGCCCGGCTGTCATGTCACCCTACTGCTGATGCCACATAGGCTGTTGTATGAACAAACTACCATTCGAGCTGCTCCTATTTCCATTTGGGGGCTTTTCCATGTGGCACCCCAATCAATGTTCTGTGCCCAGCGAATAGAGAAGCAATACTGAGCAAAGGCAGCCCCATCCTCAGGTGGGCCTGGCCTGCTCCTCCCTGAACCAGGATTCAAACGCAGACATCCCAAGTGGCCTCCCACCTCCCTTCCCCTTGGCCTTTCCCCCATCTTACCTGGCTGGGCCCTCCTCCCGTGTGGCACCTCCTGGAAATGCCCATCTGCAGAAGTGATCATCAATGGGAGGAGCCCACTGCCTCTCCCCAGGCACCGCCCCAAGGCCCATCCTGTCGCACAGGAGTGCCAGCCCCAGCTGCATGGGCCACCTCCACTGTTCTCAGGGCCTGAGACGACAGAAGGGGCCAAAGAATGAGCGGAATGGCCCGCCTCCGTTCACTCCTTGCATTGACTCTTCCTAAGTAAGGTTTCGTTAAAATATAATTTATAAGGGGCTGGGAAGGTGGCTCAGTGGTAGAGCACTTGCCTTGCATGCATGAGGCCCTGGGTTCGATTCCTCAACACCACATAAGCAAAAAGAAAAAAGCCGGAAGTGGCGCTGTGGCTCAAGTGGTAGAGCGCTAGCCTTGAGCTGAAGAGCTGAGGGACAGCGCCCAGGCCCAGAGTTCAGACCCCACGACCGGACCCCCCCCCCCAAAAAAAAAAAAAAATATATATATATATGTAATTTATAAGCAGTGGAAATCCCATTGCACTAATAGAACTGTTTTACGGCGGGTTTGTGCGGTTTTTTTTTTTTTTCTTTTTTTCTTTTTTTGTCAGTTGTGAGACCTGAACTCTGGGCCTGGGTGCTGTCCCTCAGCTCTTCAGCTCAAGACTAGCACTCTACCACTTGAGCCACAGCATCACATACAGCTTTTTCTGCTTATGTAGTGCTGAGGAATCAAACCCAGGGCCTCATACATGCAAGGCAAGCACTCTACCACTGAGCCACCTTGTGCAGCTGGGTTTGTGCAGGGTTTTTTTTTAAATCTTATTCAGACCTGGGAAGGTGGCTCAGTGGTAGAGTACTGGCCTTGCATGCGTGAGGCCCTGGGTTCAATTCCTCAGCACCACATAAACAGCCTTAAGCTGAAGAGCGAAGGGACAGCACCCAGGCTCAGAGTTCAGGCCCCATGATCGACAACAACAAAAATAATCTTATTCAGTCTTTTTATAAAAATAATTATCAAGACTTTTGACAATCATGAATAACAGCCAGGCTGGGGGGTGGGGGGCATACCTTGTGATCCCAGTGGCTAAAGAAGATCATGAATGTAACGCTTACCTTAAAAAATAAGTACACTTGGGCTGGGAATGTGGCTTAGTAGTAGGGTGCATGCCTAGCATGCATGAAGCCCTAGGTTCCATTCCTCAATACCACATAAACAGGAAAAGCTACAAGTGGCGCTGTGGCTCAAGTGGTAGTGCTAGCCTTGATCACAGAGAGGCTCAGGGACAGTGCCCAGGCCCTGAGTTCAAGCCCCAGGATTGGAAAAAAAATAATAATAAATACATTGACACAGTGCCTCAAGTCTGGAGACAAAGCACAATGTCAAGGTTCAAGGCTAGCCTGAGCAAAAAGAATTTCTCAAGACTCCATCCCAATGCCTGACTGAGCCTGCTGGCACATGTCTGTTATCTACCCATAGGGAAGCATAAGTGGGCAATCACAGCTGGGCCCAGGCATAAAGCAAGACCCCAACTCCTAAACAACCAATGCATAATTGGTTGCTGTAGATGTGGCTCAAGTGGTAGAGCACCTCTCTTGCAAGCATAAGGCCTTGAGTTCCAGGCCCAGTATCCCTTCCCCTCCCCCCCCCCCCCCCCCCCCACACACAACAAGTCACACAGGCCTCATGGTCCTCACTGCTCTGAGCCTGGGAAGGGCTCCCTGGCTGCTTGCTGCCAGGTGTGGCACTTTGTGAAGGCAGCCGTTCAAAACCACGCTCCAACATCTAGTCCATCTTCTTGTCCACACCTCATCAGAACTGTGGGTGTGTTCTGTGGCCTGGGGCCACAGAGGCACCTGTCTCCAGGGGTGCCTGCAGACCCCCGCCAGCCCAGCACCTCCTAGCCTCCACATGCCCCAACCTCAGGGACCAGGTGGGTTTGATGGCAGGCATCTGCCAGTGTGGCAATTCCAGTTCTCTCTACCCAGGCTCTTCCCAGCCAAAACACAGGAGAGGGTCCCTGGTTGGGGGGAGGAGGGGTGGTGCACAGCCACCCCAGTTATTCAGGAAGACTAGGGTGGCAAGAGGCACCCACACAAAACCAGGAAGTGAGAATGCAAGCAGCTCCATGCGGTTTATTAGCCCAGCGACCATGATTTTGACCTTGCCGTGGGTTAAAGGACACAAACCTGAGACGCAGTGTTTATCACGTGGGAAATTCATGCCATCCTTGACAGGCGACGCTGAGCAAGATGAATGATCTGCCGGCTCAGCCCCTCGCATGGGTGAATCGGGGCGAATTTACAGAACCGCTCCTCGCTACCTCTGATTCCAAAACGACATTTGCTGGGGTTCAGATCCAGTTGTCTGCTGACCCGGGGGTGACAGAGGGAAGAAATCCGATTTACAGGAATCATATTGCCTTTGAGATTGATACAACCATTGCTGCCTCTTACGCCCAGCCTCTTTTACATCTATCACAAAGCACTTGGGTTGGTTTTTAACCTGATTTTGCTGGCTGACAACACAGCTGGCCATGATGGTGCCGGTTGAATTGCGGTCGTTTTATTTATTTGCGCTACAGTTCTCTCTCAGTTCTCATACAAAATCTTTCTCCTCTTTGGAATACATTCACCATGCTCTGGAGTCCAGATCAGGCCCCCAGCAGGGCCTACATAGTAGCTCCATAGATGCCACAGTGAAAGGAAATTCCTTGCTGTTGCATGCTCTCCTGGTTGGGGCAGTGAGCAAGAAGAGACCCTGAGACCTGTCCTTAGTCACTTGTCCTTTTGTGGCTCAGAGCACTTGAAACCTAGCCTTGCCTGTACCCCCTTTATGCCCTTCATTTGTTGGTCTGAGGGCAGAGGGAGAGTGTGCCCTCTCAGTGGGTAGGACCTCAGCACCAAGCCCCTCCTTCTCCTCCTCCTCCTGGATAAACTTCCTTCCTCTGTCATTGGCTACCAGAAAGTGGCCAGTTTTTAGTGATCATTCCCCACTCCCTCCCCCCCACCCCAAACAAATTTAAGCTTGTGCAGTCAGTTTTCACTGGTGATGCTAAAGAGAGTTAGAGGGTGGAGTAGTGCATGTCTGTAATCCTAGCTACTCAAGAGGCAGGGGGTAGGACCTTACTGATAAGGCTAGTCTAGGCAAAAACACAAGCCCTATTCTGAAAAATAAACCTAAAGCCAAAAGGGCTGGTGGCATGGCTCAGGTGGTAGAGTGCCTGCCTGGCAAGGGTAAGGCCCTGGGTTCAAACACAGTACTGAAGAAGAAGAAAAACAGAGTTAGAGGGACCTACTCACCCCGAGGGCAGAGGTGGCATTTCTCACGGGCCATGGTGAGCCCAGTGAGGTACATGGCATTCCTTAGCAGGAACGTGCGGTACCTGGTGGTGACGGTGTCCCAGCCCCCTGTGGTTCTCTTTAGCTGCTGCTGGTACCAGGTACCAGTCCCCCACGCCCCCCCCACTCCCCACCCCCACCGTATCATCTCCCACGCCTCCATGGGCTCTTCCAGGGCAGCAGGCGCAGCTCGGGTTCAAGTGTCTCTGTAACTGTGGCGGCCGCCCGTCACTTGATGACCTGTGCATTCTTTTTTTTTCTGGGAACTATGGATAATTATGTAACTTATCATCTACCCTCAGTCCTTCTGAATTATTAGAATTACAGGGTTTCACTAGATGAAATCATGACAGTGATAACACATGATTCATAGGACATTTTTTTTCTTTTTTTGTAAAATGCACTGATATTAAATCTTAGGAGCCTTTTATTCAAACCTCTAGGTTGTGTGTGTGTGTGTGTGTGTGTGTGTGTGTGTGTGTGCACTTGTTGGTGTTATTTTTGTTCTTCTAATGCAGAAAATTAGAGGTTACTCTCAGTTAAAACTACTCTCAGACAATGCCTGACATCCGTGGCCCGCACACGGGCACTTGTGCGGGAGGCATTTAATTAGCATTTTGTGGAGAAAGTCTGCACTGTGAACTGTTCTCATCCCAGCTCTTCCTGTTTTCCAGAAAGCACTCCGAAGACCTCGGCCAGCTGCAGCCCAGCCCCCGAGTCCCCGATGAGTTCCAGTGAGTCTGTGAAGAGTCTAACGGAGCTGGTCCAGCAGCCCTGTCCCCCCATTGACGCCAGCAAAGACGGCAAAGCCCCAGAGCCCAGTGACCCGCCAGCCTCTGACTCCCAGCCCCCTACCCCGCTGCCTCCCTCCGGACACTCGGCCCTCAGCATCCAGGAGTTGGTGGCCATGTCTCCAGAGCTGGACACCTACGGCATAACCAAGAGGGTCAAGGAAGTGCTGACGGACAACAACCTCGGTGGGTGTCTCCCCGGGGTCCTTGGGGAAGGGACCACAGGCTGAGCCAGCCAGGAGTTGAATCTGGACAGGCTACTTACAAAAATGTGGTCCAGCCCAGCCTGGAGGCTCTCACTCCTAACACTGGCTACTCAGAGGTGGAGATCAGGAGGACTGAAGTTTGAGGCCAGCCTGGAGAAAAAGTTAGAGCCCCATCTCAACAAAACAAGCCAGGCATGGTAGTCCTGCAGGCATCCCAGCTACAGTACAGCTGAAAATAGGAGGATCATAGGCCGAGGCCAAGCCCCAGGCAAACCCCTAGCCCTGTCTGAACAATAAAGCCCAGATGGCTGGAGTGGAGGTCTGTGATCAAGTGCCTGCTTGGTCTATGCAAGGCTTGGGATCGATCCCTAGCCCCAAAAATTAATAGTATTCCAGGGCTGTGAGCACTGAGGGCTCCTAAGGAAGCTAGTGTAGGGGTCCATCCCAGGCCTTCCCCTGGGACTGTTGGAAGATGGCCTATGGTCCAGCACACATCACAAAGTCAAGTCAGCTCAGGGCTGGAACCTTCCCAGCAGAGCCCTGAACCCAAGGCTGACACCAGAGCCAGGCAGTGCCATGGTTTCATGGGAGGCTGAGGGCTACTCCCCAGGCTTCCCCCTCCTTGTGGTATGCAGCAAGCCCTCTGGTAAAGCTGGGGTGATAGTGCTGAGAGCCCCCAGCCCTGTGTGTAGCTGGCACCCTTGCGCTGCCTGGTGAAGCTCTGTTCCCCAGAATACCTCCACAGAACTGGCTTCCTCCCCTGGGCACTGCCTGGCACAGACCACAGCCTTGGCTCTGCCCATAGCGGCTGCTGAGGGTTGTAACCCCGCTGGATGGCAGCCATGGCGAGAATGGGGGTAATCGGCAATTTCGTGTCACACACACACACACACGGAGCCAATGCAAAAGGAAGCTGCCTTCTCAGCTACTGCCCCGCGGGGTGGTGGGGACCCGCACAGGTGGCTGCTGCTCCCCGGGAATAGCTGTGAAGTGCACTCAGCCCGACCCCTCCAACTGGGGACTCAGCTCTGCCCATTTTTGCAATGTGTTCTCCAGAACAGCAAGAAAAAGTAGCCCAGACTTGTGGGCATTTGCAAGGACACTAAGAGCGACCGTGGCTTTGGGTCCCATCTGCTCATCAGTTACGGAGATATGAGGGAGCCCCTGGCGTGAGCCCCTCCTTCCCCGTCCTGTCGCAAGTCCAAGGGAGCAGGCTGGACAGCCCTGCCATGAGGGAGAACACTTCCAAGGCACGGCAAACACGGGCACCTCCTCCTGGCTCTCCTTCATGCTAGAGACGAGGGAGGTTGTGTGCAGAACTTCCCAGTGCTACAACACACCCCTCTGTGATCCCAGGCAGGTCACTTTCCCATGGCAATCAGAAGCAAGAAGGGAATTGGGGACAGAAATCGGTCAAATTCAAACCCCAGTACTGAAAAAGGCCCATGGTAATTCTAGCTGAACTTTGCCGTTCTGGAAAAGTGATTACTTCCAGGTGCTGTGGCTCATGCCTATAATCCTAGCTACTTAGGAGGCTGAGATCTGAAGATCACACTGCAAAGTCATCCTGGACAGGAAAGTCCCTGAGATCTTAATTCCAATTAACCTCCAAAAAGCTGGACATGGAGCTGTGGCTCACATAATAAAGCAGAGCACCAGCCTTGGGGAAAAACCTCAGAGACAGCACCTAGACCTGAGTTCAAGCTCACTACAAGCGCGCACACACACACACTTAGGAAAGAAAAGCAGCTACCTTTCCCTGGGGCCTGCCCTCGGTGGACTTATAGGCACCTGGAGTCCAAGTCTGAGCTGAATCTGGCAGCAGAGACAATGCCAGGGCCCACCGCCATCTCCACTGGGGTTCTGGAGTGTGCGTGGTCTCTGATCCCACTCCTCCTCGTTCAAGCGCTGCCATCAGGTCACACAGATGGTGGTCGTTCTAATGGGTAGCTTTACAAGTGCTGGCCCTCATCCCCACAGTCCAGTGGCTCAGGGAGAGCCTTTCTTTCCAGCCTCTGATGAGCTCTGTGCATCTCCCCAGCCACAGCCCCCATGATGAGCCAAGGCACCAAGGGCCTTGCCCCTGCATGAGACAAGAAAGGACCCAGAGGGTTTGATCCACCAGCTCTATTGAGTTCTGGGCCTCAGCTTCAGGCCAGCCTGCCTTTCAACCCAGCGCAAGAGCCCTCCTCTTTCCCGCTGTGACCCCAGGCCCAGGGCCCTTTCCTCTCAGCAAGACCCGCCGTCTCCCCACTTTTGAGAGGAGACCAGGCAGCCTCTGGTAGAGAGTGCCGCTGCGCCTCATGGCTCACATTGAGGATTTCATTTCAGAGAAGCCTAGGTGGGGTGGGGCAAAGCTCAGCTCAACTCAGCTCACCTGGTGGTTTTTTTTGAAGCGCAGCAGCAGCCTGTCATACGTATGGAAATGGAAAGCCAGCCCTGCACTGCAAAGCTGGTGCTGGCCCCGGAGCTCAGGGATGGGGCAGTGCCACAGGCCCTGGGGTCCAGCCCCGCCCAGCACCACAAAAAAAAGAAAACATTGATGGCTCATACCTGTCACCCTCGCCACTCAGGAGGCTGACATCTGAAGATCAAGATTCAAAGCTAACCCAGGCAGAAAGGTCTATGAGACTCTTACCACCAATTAACAAGTCAAGAACTGAAGCTGTGGCTCCAGTGGTAGAGCCCTTATCCTGAGCAGAAAAATCTCAAGGACAGTGCCCAGGGCCCTGGGTTCAAACCCCAATATCCATACAAAACAAAATGAAAGAAAACATGTTTGTTCAATAGGCTGCTCTGACCATGAAGGTTAGAATGTGTTTGTGGCTTTAACGAAATATCACTATCCCACAATATTGTGAAATTTGTGTAATCACTTAATCACAATAAAAAAAAATTGCAAAAAAAAGCAACAACAACAAAAAGGCTGCTCTGAGCCAGGCTCCCATTAGCCAGATTCAGGGCTGACCCCTGCTTGTCCTCTTGGGCACCTGGCTGTCACGACCATCCTCTCTGCTTTCCCTCCAGGTCAGCGCCTATTTGGGGAGACCATCCTGGGGCTCACACAAGGCTCTGTGTCCGACCTGCTTGCCCGGCCAAAGCCCTGGCACAAGCTGAGCCTGAAGGGCCGGGAGCCATTCGTCCGCATGCAGCTGTGGCTCAATGACCCCAACAATGTGGAAAAGCTGATGGACATGAAGCGGATGGAGAAGAAAGGTAGTGCCCTGCCCACAGTGCCCTCCATGGCACACTGGCCCTTCTCAGTGAGGAATAAGTGTTGACAGAGGCCTCTGACACATGAGTCGCTAGATTTTAAAGATGTAGGAAACATTTCAAGGGAGAAGGCTATTAACCCAATATGAGCAGATACTCATGGCTCAGATCTGTAATCATAGCTACTCAAGAGGCTGAGATCTGACGATCACGGTTCAAAACCAGCCAGGGCAGAAAAATCTGTGAGACCAGAAAACCGTAAGTGGTGCTGTGGCTGTAAGTGGTAGAGCACTAGCCTTGTGCAAAAGAGGGACAGCACCCAACCCTGAGTTCAAGCCCCAGGATCAATAACAACAAAAAAGCACCTGAGTTTCAACACTCATCCAGACAATAACATTAAAGTGTCCCACCCTGTCAGGAAACGTGCTGCTGCTATGTGCAGGCCTCCCTCAGCCACGAAGTGCCCCTGAGCAACCCTGTCCTGTCATTCTTCAGGACAGAGGACACCATTTCCTGCTGGGCCACCCAGCCGCTCTGCAGGGTTCCCCAGGCTCCTGCTTCCTTCCACACAGGCTCTGGGCGCCATCTTGTGTTTCAAAGAGTTATTGTCTCAGTGGGCCCTGGCCTTCTGCCATCTCAGCTCCCCAAAGTGGCTGTGAGGCCATCTAGCTAGGTGTTCTTCACTAGGCTGTTCCTTCCCTGGCAGGCGACTGCGCAGGCACTGAGCCAGTCTTCCCCCTCGGTGCCCACTCCCAGCCCTTGACCAGGCCATGTGTATTAAATCTCTCAGGTTTTCCTTCTCCATTGTTCCCTAGTCACAGCATGCAATGGCAAGGGAGAGCAGTAATCCCCCAGCAAGTGACCCTCACTTCCTCCAGCGCTAAGGATTAGACAAACAGCTGGCCATTAAGTGTGCAGTGAGCACTTTGTTCTCTGGCATGAGTTGTGCCCATGGCCTGGCCTGGCCTAAAAGTCCTGCACCAGGTCCCAGACAAACGGTTCATTCCTACACTGTGTGCATCCTCTCCTTCCTGAAGCTTCAGCTTCTCCCATAAGCTCTGGTGTTCCATTCCTCCCTATCCTGTCTTCTGCCTTTGTTTCTTCTGTGACCCAACCTGCCCACATTATCTGAAGCTCACATACAGACCCAGCGCAACGTGCATGTATGCACACACACACATACACACACACCAACGTGCACTCACACTCACTTCCTGTATCTCAGCTGGACACACATGGCACTGACTATGGTTTCCATTCTCCCCTGCATTTGCCTGAGTGGCAGCACGGCTCGGGTGCAGCTCTCTAGCCTGCTGTGGCAGGAGGGCCTTAGCATTGTCACTTACAGCCTGCGGTTTCCTCATGGGTAAACTGGGTAACAACTAGGGGTGAACCAGCGCTGCTAACGCAGCTGCACTTGCCAGAACTGGTTCAGAAGGGCCAGGCGTGCTCTTTGGTCCCCAGCATAGCAGGAAAAGAAGATAAAGAACTGGAAAGAGGAGCAAGGAATGTGGCTTGCCTAGCATGCATGAGGTCCTGGGTTTTATTCCTTGGTACAACGTAAACAGAAAAAAGTAATTAAGAATAAATAAAGAACTGAAAAAAATTTCACTCCATAGTCCAAATCGGTCCCCTGGGGAGATGAGTGTGAACAATTCCACTAGAGTGGAGGGGGAATTTTTTTTTTTTTTTTTGTCGGTAATGGGGCTTGAAACTCTGGGCTTGGGAGCTGTCCCTCAGCTCTTCAGCTCAAAGTGAGCACTCTACTGCTTGAGCCACAGCGCCACTTCCCGTTTTCTAGTGGTTTATTGGAGATAAGAGTCTCACGGACTTTCGTGCCTGGGCTGTCTTTGAACCGCAATCCTCAGATCTCAGCCTCCTGAGTAGCTAGGATTACAGGTGTGAGCCACGGCGCCCGGCGGGAGAGTTTTTTAAGATTTTGGTTTTGTGTCACAATGCAGCCCAGGCTGGCCTTGAACTCAGGATCCTCCATCCTCAATATGCCACATGTTGTGTTTCCACATTTCTAAACATTGTCCTGTCCTCTTTCACCTCCTGGCCTATGTTTTTCTGGTCAATCCCTGTCCTCCTCAGCAGTCTGTCCTAGGAAGCCTCCTCGGTGCCCACCCCATGCCCTGCACAGGGACAGGGACAGAGCCAGGGCAGGGGTATAAGGTACCCACTTGGGGAGCAAGGGCATTGGGCTTCTCACACAGCCAGCCCTGACCTCAATGTCTCTCCTCCCTGCAGCCTACATGAAACGGCGGCACAGCTCCGTCAGCGACAGCCAGGCCTGTGAGCCCCCTGCCGTGGGCATCGACTACAGCCAGGGTGCCAGCCCCCAGCCACAGCACCAGCTCAAGAAACCCCGTGTGGTGCTGGCCCCTGAAGAGAAGGAAGCTCTGAAGAGAGCCTATCAGCAGAAGCCATACCCGTCACCAAAAACCATCGAGGAGCTAGCCACCCAGCTCAACTTGAAGACCAGCACCGTCATCAACTGGTTCCACAACTACAGGTAGGCCCTCCCCACCCCTGCCTAGTCCCGCCACATAGCGGCCACCCTCGCCACACCACCGCACATGGACTTGGCCCCTCACAAGTGTTTGTTTAGTGTGTGTGTGTGTGTGTGTGTGTGTGTGTGTGTGTGTGTGTGTCAGTCATGGGGCCTAAACTCTGGGCCTAGGCTCTGTCCCTGAGCTCTTCAGCTCAAGGCTAGCTCTCTACCACTTGAGCCACGGCACCACTACCTGCTTTTTCTGCTTATGTGGTGCTGAGGAGTTGAATCCAGGGCCTCATGCATGCAAGGCAAAGACTCTACCACTGAGCCACCTTCCCAGCCCCAAGTGTTTGTTTTTTGTTTGTCGGTCCTGGGGCTTGAACTCACACACACTGTCCCTGAGCTTTTTGTGCTCAAAACTAGAACTCTTAACATTTGAGCCGCAGCTCTACTTCCAGCTTTTTGCTGGTTAATTGGCAAGAAACTGGCTTCAACCCATGATCCTCAGATCTGAGATTCCAGAGTAGCTAGGATTGCAGGTGTGAGCCACCAGCTGTGCCCTGGTATTAGGCTTCGATCTGAGAGGATTGTGTTTGCACTTCCTTTGTGTTTTCAGTTTTTAGATGAGAGGGTCTCAAGTTTGCCCCAGACAAACTTGGACGAAGATTCACCTATTTTCACATTCACATGGCATTTATAGGCATGTGCCACCAATCTGGCTTGCTTTTTTGTTGTTCTTTTTGTGACAGTCCTGGGGCTTGAACTCAGAGCCTCGGCACTGTCCCTGAGCTTTTTTGCTCAAGGTTAGTACTCTACCACTTAAGCCAAAGCTCCACTTCTGGCTTTTCGGTGATTAACCTGTGATAAGAACCTTGCGGCAGGACTTTCCTGCCCCTGCTGACTTCAAACAGATCCTCAGGTCTCAGCCTCCTGAGTAGCTCGGATAACAGGTGTGAGCCACCAGCCCCTGGCAACTGAATTTGTACCACGTCTCCCCCCTCTTGTCAGCCCAGGCTGCTCCCTGTCCACAGAAAGAGTAGGGAAAAAATGAAGGGAAGGAAGAGAAGATAAATGTGACCACTCCGGCCAGGTCTCGGGCTCACCCACTGTCACCTCCTAGTCAGTGTCTTTACCCGGGTGTCCAGTGAAGTCCTGCGAGGACACTGCACATCCTCAGCCCAGGGGCTGCTGACCTCCTGGGCGTCTCCTGTATCTACACAGGGCGCCCCAGGCCTGGCCTGCTCATGCTCCCTCCCCTTCCCAGTACCGTCTTGTCTTGCTGGCCCCTGGCAGCCACAGTCCTCTCTGTGGAGCTGTCCCTGGTGCATTTAGCACAAATTCAACTGTCCACCCTTGGCAGACAGCAAGGGAGGAGGAGGAGCAGCACAGGACCTGCTCTCAGGCATTAAATGAGTTAAACTCCTAAAGGAGAAAACAACTTTTTTCTCTTATTTTCACAGGGATTAAGCCAGGACAGTTGATGTTATTTTTTTCTGTGCCTGTAGAGCCCTCAGAGAGTAGAACCTGAGGTCAGTTGTTTTTTTGGGGGGGAGGGGGTGTCAGGTCGTGGGGCCTGAACTCTGGGCCTGGGCGCTGTCCCTCAGCTCTTCAGCTCAAGGCTAGCGCTCTACCACTTGAGCCACAGCGCCACTTCCAGCTTTTTTCTTTTTGCTTATGTGGTGCTGAGGAATCGAATCCAGGGCCTCATGCATGCAAGGCAAGCGCTCTACCACTGAGCCACCTTCCCAGCCCTGAGGTCAATTTTTGCACCCATTTAAAAAAAAAAAAATAGAGCCAGGCACTAGAAGCTCACACCTGTAATCCTACTCAGGAAGTTGAGATCTGAGGATAGAGGTTCAAAGCCAGCCCAGACAGAAAAGTCCATGAGGGGCTGGGAATGTGAATATGGCTTAGTGCTAGAGTGCTTGCCTAGCATGCACGAAGCTCTGGGTTTAATTCCTCAGGACCACATACACAGAAAAGGCCGGAAGTAGTGCTGTGGCTCAAGTGGTAGAGTGCTAGCCTTGAGCACAGAGAGGCTCAGAGACAGAGCTCAGGCCCTGAGTTCAAGACGCCCCCCCCCCCCCCAAAAAAAAGAAAAGTCCATGAGACTCTTTATCTCCAGTTAACAACAAAATACTAGAAGTAGGGGTAGCTCAAGTGGCAGAGTACTAGTCTAGTGAAAATGTCAAGCAAGGGAAAAAGGCCCTAAGTTCAAGCCCCATTACCAGCACAAAAATAGGTAAATAAAAAGTCAAAGCACAGTGAAATCAGGTATGGTGGTAATAAGCCAGTTGGGTACATGTAATCCCAGCTGTAATCTCAGGAGGTGGAATGTGGAGGATCTTGGTTTCAGACAGTGAGACTGTGTCAGAAAACAAGGTGGGCATGGTAGTGGGCCCCACTGCTCAGAAAGCAGAAGTAGGAGGCTCCAGGCCTGAGTCAGCTGCAGCAAGTTAGCCTAAGACCCTATTTGAAAGACAAACTGAACACAAAAGACTGTGTGTGGTTCAACTAGTAGAGGGCTTAAGGCTCTGAGTTCAGCCCTAGTACCAGCCCTACAAAAAGGTCATGAAAAAACCAGGACTGAGCCTTTGTTTACTTTGTGTCCAGCATTACAGTCAATATGCCACTTCATCTTCCTCTCTCTGCAAGGAAGACACTTTTTTCAGATAAGAGAACTAAGGTTCAGAAGGCCACAATGACCTGTCCTAGTTGGACAGCTATAGAGTAGCAAAGCCAGACTTCAAACCTAGGTTTGGGGGTCGGGGGATGGAGGTAGGGGGGAGTGTAGTTGAGGAGGTGGGAGGGAAGGGATGGTAGGGGAAAAACAAAGGAGGAGGCAAAGGATTGCTTGGTAAGAAATATACTCATGCCAGGTGCCGGTGGCTCATGCCTGTAATCCTAGCTACTCAGGAGGCTGAGATCTGAGGATCATGGTTCAAAGCCAGCCCAGGCAGGAAAGTCTGTGAGACTCTTATCTCCAATAAACCTCTAGAAAACCAGAAGTGGCGCTGTGGCTCAAGCAGTAGAGCGCTTGCCTTGAGCTGAAGAGCTGAGGGACAGTGCTCAGGCCCAGAGTGGAAGCCCCACGACCAACCAAAAAAAAAAAAGAAAAGAAAAAAGAAATGTACTCCTTACCTTGCTCATGTAATTGTAACCCCTCTGTACTGTATTTTCACAATTAAAAAAAAAACTTACTAAAACATAAAAAACCTAGGTTTTCCTAAAGGCCTGGGATATGCCCAAACCTTTCCCCTCCACCCTGCCACCTCCCACTGGGCGGGGTGAGGCTGGGTGTCCTAGCCACCCAAGAGCCACCCTCCAGTCAGCCACTGGTCACCTGATGCCACATTTCCCAGGCCCCCTGCATCACCTTAGGGAGGAGGTCATTACTCCCTAGGACCTTGTGGGACATCTCAGGTCCTGACTTCAGGATGGGGTTCCCAGGCTCTCCCTGCAGGAAGCTGGTAACTACAGAGGAGGCCAGCTAGGCCCTAGGTGCTGGCCTCACTCCTCCCAACTCCACCAGCAGTACAGGAAGAGCTCTGGGGCTCTCCTGGAGGAGAGAGGCTACTGTGCCATTCCAAAGGCCTTGCCTGGGTCACATGACCCACTTCTGCATGACCCTGGGCCTGGTGCTTATTTGCCCAGCAGTGGACATTTGTAATTTTCAGCACTGGGGAAGAAACAAACAGCTGGCCCCACATAGCCCTTGGAGGATGAAGGAGAAGGAGCTTAACAGGAGCCCCTTCATGGGGCCACGGTGGCTTCTGGGGCCCTGGGCCGGCCCTTTCTCTAGGAGGCGGTGCTTTTCCGTCCCACAACACATCTTCCACTGGGGGCTGGAGTTAAAGCTTGCTTAAGAAGCACCAGTGTCTCACACCTGCAATCCTAGCTTCTTAGGAGGCTGAGTTCTGAGGATTGTGGTTTGAAGCCAACTGGGGCAGGAAAGTCTGTGAGACTCTGACCTCCATTATACCACCCAAAAAGCCAGAAGTGGCTGATCTGTGGATCAACTGGTAGAGTGCCAGTCTTAAGCAAAAAAGCTCAGGGGCAGCACCCAGGCCCTGAATTCAGGCCCCAGGACTGGCACTCCCAGCATTCAGGAGGCAGGAGATGGGGAATTGAAGACCAGCCTGGGCTACACAGGGAGATCCCGACTCAGAAGGAAAGCAAAGCCTGGCGCCAGTGACTTGTACCTATATCCTAGCGGTTCACTGCCCTGGCCCCCAGTTCAAGCCCCAGTACCTGAGCCAGGCAAAACTTGTTTGCCGTCCTGAAGCTGGTGCGGGAGGTCTGCTCCTTTCACGGAGGGAATTAATGCAGGAGACCTGACTACACTGGAGGGGAAGCGCGTCCTGGGACGCAGGGGGTCGGCGGGGAGCCCGTGCGTGCGTGCGTGCGTCCGCACATGCGCCTGCACCCCCGCGCGAGTGCGCTTGCGCGTGTGCCCCCGTGAGAGGCGGGGGTGGCGCGGCCCGCCACCGCAGCTCCCATCTCACGCCTGTCTGGTCTCCCGCCGGCCCCGCAGGTCTCGGATCCGCAGAGAACTGTTCATCGAGGAGATCCAGGCCGGGAGCCAGGGCCAGGCCGGCGCCAGCGACTCGCCGTCGGCCCGCAGCGGCCGCACCGCGCCCGGCTCCGAGGGCGACAGCTGCGACGGCGTGGAAGCCGCGGACGCCGAGGAGCAGGGCGGCCCCGCGGCCGCTGCCAAGTCTCAGGGAGGGCCGGCCGAGGCCGAGGCCGAGCGCGGGCCGGAGGAGGCGCCGCGGCCCGCCGAGCCCTCGGGGGCCCCGGGCACGGAGGACGCCGACGACGCGGGCCGGCCGCGGCCACCGCCGCCGCCCGAGGGCCCCGCCGACGGCCCCACTCCCAGCCCCGCCGCGCCCGCCGCCGCCGCCGCCGCCCGGGAGGACGCCGCTACCTCAGCCGCCGCGCCCGCCGCGGGCCCCGGCGCCGCCGAGAGCAGTTCCGCCTTGCCAAGCACCAGTGCGCCCGCCGCCGCCGCCGCCGCCGCCACCACCGTCCCTGCCGCGGCCGCCGCCGCCGCCGCCACCACGGCCGCCGCCGCAGTGCGCAGGCCCAGCTCGCTGCAGAGCCTCTTCGGCCTGCCCGACGCCGCGGGCGCCCGGGACTCGCGGGACAACCCGGTGCGCAAGAAGAAGGCCGCCAACTTGAACAGCATCATCCACCGCCTGGAGAAGGCCGCCAGCCGCGAGGAGCCCATCGAATGGGAGTTCTGAGCGCCCGGGCCAGGTGGAGCGGATCGCGGGCCCGGCCCGGCCAGGCCCGGCCCAGCGAGGCCACCCGAGCCCAGCCGAGGCCTGGACGTGTTGCGCACTTACCGCCCTGCGGGCCACAGGGCAAAATCGCCATAGGCCAAGGTGCATATAGAAAACAAAGGAGCATTAAGCCCAATCTATGTCGTGTTTTCAAGGAAGAAAACGGAAATGTGTAGTCAAGCTTTTTTGTACCCTCAAGTGTTTTTTTTATTGCCCTAAGTGATTTCCACAGGTTCTGGAATAACTCTTTACAGCTTTGCCTTGCGCCCTCCTCTTCGTGTGGGCTTAAAAAGAGAAAAAAAAAAATCAAACCCACATATTAAAAGGGGGCTTTTTATCTGCCATCTAATGGCTCAGAGCGATAATACACTATTATCTTCTTAAACCAGGAAAGGGGGGGGGGATTTTTCAGAAAAAAAATTTAAAAAAGAAAGCTTTTGTAGCTGCCCAGTTGCCACTAAGAGATTGCACAGTCAGGCCGACTCTAAACACACTAGTTTGGATTCCTAAATATTTTCAAGAAAAGAATCTTCTCGTTTGAAACTTTGAATTGAAATAAAACACATTGACTCCACGTATTTTTTAACAGAAAAAAAAGACAAGTCACATCAGGAAAGTATCTTGATTTCGTGGTAGCTGACGTAGTGTTTTCTTGTACGTGAATAGACTCCTGACGTAGTACACATTGATCCATAGCTTTAACTAACTCTGGGCTTTTGCTGGCCAGAGTTTGTTTAATACGCTCCATTCTAGGCCAAATCAGGACAAAAGAAAAGATCCGAATCTAGGTATTTTATAATCTGCTTTTTAACCTCTAACCGGAGAGCACGTTGATCAGACCTCATATGTCGGAGGCTTAGGAGACAAGTTGGAACTGTAGCGTGAACCCATTCATTTTGTTTAATTTATGGTGTCTACGTCTATGTGTGTCCTGTCCCAGCCTTGCAAGAAAGGGTAGGCCAGCCAGGTCGCAGCTGGCAGTGGGGGAGGGGCACCTTTCCTTGGCAAACAGAAGGCACCTCCTTTGATACCACTCCCGGGTGCCTGATGGACCCAGGCGCCGCTGCCCTCCCCCTCCTCCCCCCAGCGCCATGAAGGCGCGCTATGTTTCCCCTCTTCCCACCACAAGCACTGAGGACCTGTGATCCATGTGGGAAGAGCTCTTCCCTGCAGGAGCGGGACAGGGGGCAACCTGGGCTCTGCTCCCACCCCTGTAGAAACAACCCAGACACACCAAAACGTTGATGCTCTTTGCTTCCAACCCAGACCACTGGCCCTTTCCTTCAGTTTTCTTGGGAAGTTCTTTTTATGCACAGTTTAGAGCAGTCTAAGTACAAATCAACAAAAAAAAAAAAAAAAGAGAGGAAAAAAGTCTAACTTGTCTCTGATTCCTCCCGTTGTCTATGTGTATATGCGTGAGTTCAGAGGTGGATGGGAGCGTGTGTGTGCGTGCGTGTGTGCAATTTTCTACGTCCGTGTATTTTCTTAAGTACCTGTGCACACATAGAGTGCAGTACTGCCACCTTTTTCAATAAGCTGGTTTATCAGTTACGGCTTCTACAAGTTTGCTAATTTAGACTCCTTTAATTGCCATATCTTTAAACTAACAATAGATGATTTCGGTATATATATATTTTTTTTGCTTATTTATAGGTGCTGTATTTTATTATCTGATTGTTAGGAAGGGATGGAAGGGGCAAATACTCTTTAGAGGGATAGACTGCCGGCAGTATTGGGTATAATTTTCAAGATGTAGCTGTCATACTGTATATTACTGATTGAAAGCTTTTGACCGTATTGTGTATCATGGAAACCTTTGTCTTAGGTCAACATCTTTGGATGACATTTTAATGGTGCATTCATTATTTCTTAAGTTTAATTAATATTACTTTGTTCTTTTTTTTTCTTTTTTTTTTTTTTTTTTGGATTGGGGGGTGGGAGGGAGTTGGAATTTTAAATGTCTGCTCCCGCGGTCACACAGTGTGTTGATTATTACTTACTTACCTTGTAGGACTCAGACTGTAAAATCCAAAAGCACATTTCTTTGCATGCTTTAGAATTTCCGTATTTCATTTACAGTCTTTAAACCTACAACTGCAGCACTTAAGAGTTTTCACAGATCTTAAAGAGTCTCTACACTAAAGACAGTGTCTTTTCATGAATGGGAAGTTTCCAGAAGGCTCTAGGAGGCTGGGATGCAGGCCCTTTGTCTTTGGTTGTGGATGTCCACACTTGCAATCTGGCTTAGTGGGAAGATAATTCATGGCAGAGGGGCCAAGAGGAAATGGATTGATATCCAGCTGGAGGCGGGCTAACAGTGAGGTCACACCCAGAAACCTCAGGACAGAGAGAGGCTGAGCAGATGGGACTATGGGGTCCCCTCCACTGAACCTCAAGGGGTCTTTGCCCTCTATGAAATGCATCTCTTAAGACCTAACTTTCATCACCCTGAGAGCGGAAAGTAACAGACTAGTAGGCTTCACTGTTGCTTAGCTAAGGGATTAAATCTGAGGAAACAGAAAAGTTTAGATTTGTCTGGTTCTCTTGGCTAAATGGTTACAGTCTAAAACAGCCATGCTGGAATTCAGTCATGGGCGGATGGAAGGGGAGGGAGGTGCTTCTTATGTTTGAACTCAGTCACTGTTCATTTCCACTCTTGTTCTTCCCGCCAGACTTCCATCTGGATGCTTGATGCGATCAGTTGGTTAGATTTTTCTTACAGCTCTGGGTATATATTTGTTCCTCTGTTGTCTTTTTTTTTTTTTTCCATTGAGATCCTAACCTTGTGATCTTTTGGGTTAAGCTACCACTGTCTGTAATACTTCTAAGAGCTGCCACAGGATAACGCAGAAACTTGTGTCCAGGCCCCTCAGTCTGAGTCTAAGGGTTCATTTTTCATCGTGATAAGCAATATTCAAGTGCCTTGAACAGCGCCCCCTCGTGGTGACCTCCACTGGCTGGCTGGGGAGCCCAGCCAAGCTCCCGCAGGCAGCCAGCCCTCCTTCCTCTTTATGCCCTGTCGGCTTAAAAAGCTAATTTGTACCTCTCCCCAGGGGAAATGGTTCCCTATAAAACACTAACACTTAATTATAAGCTCCATTATACCATTTTAAATGGCTTCTTTTTTGTTAATTGGAGACAGCATTCATAACTTCAGACTTCTGCCACTACTTAGCTAGCTTGGTGGAGGGCTAATTTAAAGTCAGTGTTCCCATCCTGCCCGAGTTCCCCTGTGCTATCCAGGTGGCCAGTGTGGGGGTTCTGTCTCAGACCTACCCACTTCCCCCAGGCCTAGATCCCTGCTCACCTGGGAGTCAGAATGTGTGACTGCCTACCCATTTCTGCCAGACTTGCCACTAGAAAGGACAGTCGTGGCTACGTGCCAGACTCTGTTATCTAGCTAAGTCACCTGAGATGGCTTAGGGTCTGGCTCCCAGGATGCGGATTTGGGAGAGGCGGTAGATCACAGCTCTCAGCCCCGTCCTCCAAGGCAGGTCCTCAAACCCCCAAAGCACAGTGTCTCCCCACCCCACAGCCTCCTGTCTACATGTCCCCCTCCCCACTTGAAAACCATCTATCTGGCACAGGTAGCCTGGTCTGGCTGTAGTACCCGCACAGAGAGCAATGGTGCTGTGTCTCAGGCCTAGGATCATGGCAATCAGACTGTATTTCTTTGTTCCTTTAGAGAAAAGTCAGTCAGTGGTGAGCCTTCTGGGCTGTGTGTTCTGTTCCCCTGACTTTTCCAACAGATCTTGCTGGAAAATGGCTGGGGTATGTGCATGTGCCCTTCTGAGATTAGCACCAGTGACCCGGTGATGACCCTAGTAGAGCTGGGCCAGGAGCAGCTGTGCTGGGAGATGGCGGCACTGCAGGCGTGGCGGGCCCATCCCTGGGGGCCTTAGAGCAGCTGGAACATCACTGTCCCCCCTCATTTGTCTTCACACTCCTCATTTGTCCCTGTCTACCTCACCGGGGCTCCCCACCTGATGCGGCTAGTGGACTGGGGATGCGCGGCTGCCCGCCCACCAGGCCAGCTTTTTGTGAAGACAGGCGTTTGTGCCATACGGGGTTCACGGATTTGCTTCTCCTGCAGCTGTGTCCTGTGCAGGAGTGGCCGAGAGGCCTTTGCTGTGTGAGCTTCCTGAACAGCTGTCACGATCCATCCCAGCCGCCCTGTTGTCCTGGGCTGCCCTCAGCTGGCACGTGATCTGATGGATCACCACCGCCTTCCATGTCTCTCTCACTTCTGGCATTGTGGTGGTGACTGCTGCAGCATGACTGCTTTCTCCCTTGATCTGCAAACATCTCAGGCATAGGGAAGGGTCATGGGCTTTTTTCTGCGGCCTGCATGCCTTGACCTCCCCAAATAGCATACCTGTAATCCCAGCTTACTTGGAAGGCAGAGTTGGAGGATTGTGGTCTGAGGCCAGCCCTAGGCAAAAATGCAAGACCTGATAAAGCAGAACAGCTAGGTGTGTGGCTCAAGTGATAGAGCACCTACCTATCAAGCAGAGGCCCCTGAATTCACACCCCAGTATGGCCAAATAAGAAAAAAGAAGTTCCCGTTTTCCATTCAGTGCTGAAGAAAAGCAGCCTCTAGTGCTGAGACTGCATGTTGGGCCTCCACTGTGGAGGCCCAAATCTTCTGATGGGAATTGGGAATCAGGATTGTGTGGTTTGGTGGTCAGGCATTCATTCACCAGGGCAAGGCTTGTGTTCAGGTGGTTAGGTAGTGGCCTGGGACTCTACCAGAACCTGGCTCCCTCTCCCCAGGGCCTAGCCTGGCCAGCACTGGGCCAGCTGGCCCACAGAATGGTCCAGTTGACTACTAAGTTCACTCAGCAGATTACCCTTTCTGTAGATGAAATCTACCAGGATAAAAAGGAAAGCAAATTCCCCAACAAAGTTCCAGAAAGATCTCATGTTTTAAAAAAACTTGAGAGATGGGCTGAAAGCCAAGGCCAAGACCTTCAGGGCCAGTCTGGATGGAAAAGAGGCCCCTAGGCAGCCAGCAGACCCTAAAACCAGCCCTGGTGTCTGAGTTCCCATGGCTGGAAAGCCATTTCTTCCAGTTCTGCCTGCCCCCTCCATGGCTTGCCCACAGCACTTGCTCTGCCACTCCCCTCCAAAGATCCAAGCCCTCGGGGCAGCCTCACTTTTTCATTTGGGGATGAAATGACATTTAGCTTTAACAAGACATTTCCAAAGCACCTGGTCTCTTCCAAAATGCTAACTTTAAAAGTTCAGCATGGTAGGGAAAGAATTCGGGGAGGTGGGGGAGGAGAGGGGCTCAAAGAAAAAAAGAAAAAGCTGATGAGAGAAAGACATTTGGCTGTGTGTGTCCCTCCCCGTCCGATCCCCTGTGCGTCAACTTTGAAACCGCCTTTGAGTTGCTTTGCATGGGTCCGTTTTCTTTGTAATGTTAAGAAGTGGAGTCTGCGTCACTGTAATTTCTGTACTGTTGTGGCTTTAATTTCTGCTATGTATCACGCTTTCTGCGATCAGAAAGAAAAGGTGCCTTAAACCTCGATGTCACAGCTCTGACACAAGCACATTGCGCAAGTGTGGGAACTTTTCGTTGGCAAAGCAAGATAGACCCTCAGCCAGATGCGTCCGTGCCGTGGGCTGCTTCCGGTTCACACTGCTCCCGCTCACCTCCTTCCCTTTTACTTTTCTTTTTCTTTCCTTTTTTTTTTTTTTTTTTTTGAGTTTGCTTTAAACAGCACTTAAATATAAGATGGCTATGTGTAAAAGCTCTGTGCAATGAAATCATGTTTCTTCATTTTGCAAAGACCGCGAATTGCACACCAAATGAACTCGAAGTAAGCTTTAGACCAGGACAATTCAGGTTGCGGATGAGTTTATATTCACTGTAGATCTGTGTGTTCATGAAACTGAAGGGCAAATAAATCCTTCTCCCACTTTCCCTACCCTAGCCTGGGGTTCAGCCACTGAGCCACCCCCCCCCAAGTGTCAGATCACAGCTGTCCCTCCTGCCCCCACCCCCACCCCCTTTCCCCTGTTGAGATGCCCTGCTGCTGACCTGCCAGTGCGGGAAAGATGATTAGAAAGTGTTTCCTCAAGAAAAGAATACTTTCTATCCATCGTCTTGTATTTATTATTATTTGAGCGCTCATCAGGAGTGTGTGTGTTGTTTTGTGTCCTGATTGCTTTTGCTGTCACCCCAGTGACCACAGTCTTCACACACACACACACACACACACACCCTGGTAATTGGGGGGGGGGCGGTAAGGCAGGTACAGAACCTGTCTCCCCAACAGCCACCCAAAGACGTGGTCTTCATACATCTGAAACTTTTGAATGAGAGAATTGAACAAAAAATTTTAAAAGCTACCGGTGCCAGAAGTATCAGGAACAGCAGAGGGAAGCATAGAGAAGCCACATTCAGGTCCCCAAAGCCTCCTACAGCCTCTTGAGACTACTGGGTTCATGAAGGTTCTTTGGTGAGCCCTGATTAGGGGGGCGGTGGCACTGTGACGCAGCCTGTGAGCCAGAGGGGTTTTCTATGATACCTGCATCGCTGGGGGGAGGGGGGCATCCTTGTCATTCCTGCATTCAGAGTTGGCTGCAAACCTCCTCGTGAAATGGCTGGAGTGTGAGCGCCTGAGCGGGCCGGGCCAAGGGGTCGTATGGGGGAAGCCCTTCCCCTCCAGGATGGTTAACTTGGGGGGACAGTGAAACAAGGCCTGCCAGCAAGACACCGGATTGGCTAATCAGTGGGGAGGGTACAGGGGCTGGCTTGGGGGTCCCCTCTCGCTGGAGGATCCCGCACAAGTAGCCCAAGGCAGGGCCTCTGCCCCCAGACAGCCCCTGACTCATCTTCCATGCCATGACTTCACCCCTTCTCTGAAATGATTGAGGTTCCCAATTTTATCATCTTTGGGGGAAAAAAATCCCCTCTCCTTGGGTTTTCGTTTTTTTTCTCTACAATTAGTCTATGCACCTTTCTCCCTCTCTTCCCCTCTCCCTCTCCCCCCTACCCCCTAACCCCCCTCCTCTCTCTCTTACCAATTTCTGCATCTTTCCTTGCAAAGACAAGTGTCTCATGCCCCGCCCTCTGAGACTGCCACAGGCAAACGCTGTGCATTTTGGAGACATGAGAATTCATTGGACTCTTGAGCATTTTGAGAGTAGCTTGTTACAAACGTGTGGGGGGGAGCCCCTTTCCCGTGGAATAGGAGACCTAGCTCTGCCTTTTGTGCAATAACTACTTCCTGTGCAAGCCGGTGGCCCACGCTCCTGCCCAGACTACTAACCACAGCACAAGACACGTGTCCCCCATGGCGAGGCCCGCACCCGGGCGGCCTCCGCCCAAGGCCCCTCCACGCCCCGCTCCTCCCAGCACATGGTGGGGGGGGGGGGTCGACGTTTTAGCAGTATTTTATATTTTCTGTAACGCACTAAGTCTTAGATGTTTCAAAAGTTCGTTTGTTAAACAATCACAGAGATTTTTTTTGTTCCTTCTCACAAAAGACCCAATTGACCAAAAAAGAAAGAAAAGAAAAACAAGAAAAATAACAAAAATGAAAACAACAAAAAAAGCATCATTTTTTTTTTTTTTTGTACAAATAGCTTTGAGAAGCCTCTTGTGTCTCGGTGGTCCATCGCTGATTTCTGGCTATTTGTTTTTCCTGCAAGAATCAAAGTGGATGTGGCTGGCGTGGGGGTGGAGAGGCACCCGTCCGTCCCTGGGCGTCGTCCCTTCTGTCTGGTTAGCCATATGTCTGTCCTTTAACACTGTACAACGGTCCTTCTATGACATAGAAAAGCAATACCACTGAGATGCACCCTGTATTAGTCACTAGCACCCTAGGTGTGATCATTGAAGTAAATATCTTTTATACAAACACAACCCTGTGTCAGCTGTTTTTATTAAAAGTGATCCGGCGCAAGCACTCTGACCTGGAGACACGCCCTTGCCTCCCTATGCATGTACTGTCCAGTACTTCCGGGTACATGGCAGCCTCCCTGCTTGTGGGAGCTCCTCACATAGTGGGGGCACAGCCAGGCATTCCGAGCCATGCAGCTCCAGCCTGTGGCCTGAACTCCTCCGCTCGGGGAAGGTCTTACTTTGGCCCTAGCACTATGACAAAGCAGGACAGGCCAGCGGCACTGGTTAGCACTGGCTGTTGAGGAGGAGATGGTGGTTTGTGTGTTTCTACAACAATTGGGGTCCCTTCTATCATGCCGTCACCGGGCAGGAGCAGTGGGGAAGGCTTTGCAGAGTTGGCTGCCAGGATGGCCCACTCACGATCTGGGGTGTTGTGTATTAACTGGCCAGCCTGGCAGTCACTCACCTGTGTTTTGGTTTGGAGGTTTGAGATGGAGGCCATGTGACCCATGAGGCCCTGGCCCACTCCCATCAGTGGCCACCTACCCCACAGCACAGGGCGGGGCATCAGAGCATCTCCTCCAATGGGAGGCCCATTCCCATGGAGGGAAATTAGCATATAAAACCTTAAGTGTACCAGTTTGGTGATGAATAATCCTAACTCTCCTGTTGGCCAGATTGCATACACCCCATAGATTTTGAAGAATCTATTAACTCAAACCATGAAATGTGCAAAACAAACTAACAGCACAAAGTCTTTTTACCCAGAGCGTCTCCCCAAGTGCTTGTAAAGTGATTTCATTTAGCAAAACCGCAGTGGTACCATAATAGTTTGGTAGAGTTGTTGTTTGCTTTGGGATTTTTTTTGTTATTGTTGATTTTGTTTGCTGGTTTTGAGGTAGGGTTTGTTTCACTGTAGAGCCTAGGCAGGCTGGCCTGGGAATCTTCATCTTTCTGCCTCTGCCTCCTGACTTCTGGGATCACAGGTGGGTGCCACCGCACCTGGTTTTGTGCATGGTTTTGCAGGGCTTTTTAGAAACTGCTGGCTCTAGAGGCTGAAGATGGGAGATAACTGGTCGTGTTGGGGGATGGCCCCATGCCAGGCAAAGTTCCGACCTTCCAGGGCTTCGCCTTGCTTTCGTCCCTACCGCTCAGTAGGTCAGAACAAGGTTGCAGGCCTTGGGAGCTGAGGGAGATGGTGAAGGCTTCTCCCCGAGGGCATGGCACTTGAACACTTGCAAACTCCTGTCTGCCTGTGTTGGTCGGGACCTCTGCGGGCCCGTCTTGGGATGTGGCTCCCCCCGTGGTCACGGCAGGCCCATGTTGGGGCACTTTCTCCAGGCAGAGACCTGGACCTAGCCGTGCCCCTCCATGTTGGGAGCTTACAGGGCCTAAAGAGGGGACCGGGCCGGGCTAGTGGAGTCTATTCTGAGCACCAGTGCTGGGAGTTTGCGTGAGTGGACTGGTAGCCACTGCTGTGACCATCATGAGGAGGCGATGCCCCAGACATTCAGATGGTCCATAGAAAGGGCTGGGGCAGAATGTGGGGCGCAGTGGGGTACAGAGGTAAGGTTTGATGGTGCCACTCGCTGTTGAGGGAATAATCAAGTTGTCTGCAGTCCCTGCTGGGCCCCAGGCACATCGGCCAACACTGGGGGCGTCTGAGGGGTCCTGGGCGGGGGGGGGGAGGGTCTTGAGCAAGGAGGAGTCATTGAAAAGGGTACTGTAAAAATGACGGGCCACTCAGGTGCCAGTGGCTCATGCCTGTCATCCTAGCTGCTCAAGAGGCTGAGATATGAGGATCACAGTTCAAAGCCAGCCTGGGCAGGAAAGTCCATGAGTTTTTTTTTCTTTTTCTGTTGTGGGGCTTGAACTCTAAGCCTGGGCACTGTCCCTGAGCTCTTCAGCTCAAGGCGAGCGCTCTACCAGTTGAGCCACAGCACCACTTCTGGTTTTCTGAGTGGTTTATTGGAGATAAGAGTCTCACTGACTTTCCTGTCTGGGTTGGCTTTGAACCGTGATCCTCAGATCTCAGCCCCCTGAGTAGCTAGGATTACAGACATGAGCCACCGCTGCCCGGCCCATGAGACTTTTATCTTCAATGAACTACCAAAACAAGCCAGCAGTGGCATTGTGACTCAAGTGGTAGAGCGCGGCTAGCCTTGTGTGAAAAGGCCTCAGTTCAAGCCCCAGGACTGGCACAGATAAAAGACCAAGGGGCAGAGTGCATTGAAGCAGGAAGAGGCACAGGCCGGTGGTGTGGATGGCAGGAAAGCCAGGTCCCCCTCCTTGTCCCCCTGACATGGGTGCCCAGGATGAAGCCAGATCTGGAGGGCAGCTGTGGGGTAGGACAGGGATGGGAGAGGAGACACCAAAGGAGACGCAGTATGCACATAGACAGGCCACTGAACTGAAGCTCCTTTGTACAATTACTTAAAGATCACTTGAAAATATATATATACATAGCAGAGTGCTGGTGGCATATGCCTGTCATCCTAGCTACTCAGAAGACTGAGATCTGAGAATCACAGTTCAAAGCCAGCCTGGGGCAGGAAAATCTATGAGACTAATTAACCACCAGAAAACCAGAAGTAGTTCTTTGGCTCAAAGTGGTAGAGCCCTAGCCTTGAGCTGAAGAGCTCAAGGACATCGCCCAGATTCTTATCTGAGTTCAAGCCCCACAACTAACCAAAAAACAAAAGATTATATAAATCTGCCGCTGGCAAATGACCTAACCTGCACCAAGAGCTACCCACGCCCCTGGGCCTGGAAAGTAGCAGGTGCTTCTGAGTGACTCAGACCCAGTGAGGAGGGGAATGCAGTTGACTCAGATTCACTCTCAGGCTAGCTCAAACCTGTGATCCTCACTACTTGGGAAGCAGCAATCTGAAGATCAAGGTT